TTTTTACTTACAACTCTATTTCTTTTGTTGTTGCTTTCCTTTGCCATGTTCCCTTAGGGACTCTAACTTCTCTTGTTCAAGAGAAGTTATGACAGACATTAGGGTTCTAACCATGCATGATAACATTAGATAGCTCCCTCATAACCTCAATTATAGGATCAACTTTGCATGACAACTTTAGGATCGGATTAGTTCCCCTTTAGCGCGTCCTTTCTCTTCTCATTTGCAAACATCTTTAAAACACTTAATAAAGATTAACACATGTTGTACGCTACGAGCCTTAAGCACTTGAGAAAGGGTTGTTGGAGAGTTTCTCTTCAATAGCTTGGGTGTTTAGCGTGGTACCCTTTGGGTGACATGCGACGCATTCACTCTTAAGTCCAAGTCTTTAGTGCAACATGAGTTACAAATAAAACTCAAAGCATTTCTTCTCTAAAAGACTTCAAAAACAAAGATCAAACTTCTTTTTGTCCTTTGGGACCTTTAATCCTTGGAAGCCATTTTCATAAGGAGAGTTTCGTTAACTCTCGGTTCTACCGCAAACGGTAAACGCCTAAGTCTCCAAAGGTCGAGCTGCATACACCAACTGCTAGAACCGTTTGTTAACCCTACTCGGGTAAAACTTTTGAACCAACCTGTGCTCTTGTTAGCCCGAACTATGTTTGCTCTGATCTTTCATGCTGTGTGAAAGTACGTAGGCACGAGATGCGATATCTCGGCGAGCAACCTTCCCCCTTTTTCTCACCTGTAGTTAGGCGAACTACGTTGACTCTGATTTCTCGTTCCAGACGGGAATATGTAGGCATAGAACTGTTGTGTTCTGCCGAGTCATTTTCTTTTCTTTTTAGACCAGACTTTTAGCGTAGATAGATAACCAACCCGTCAGATAAACACAACAAGCATGGATCCCATCGAGTACGATGGACGTGAGGGGTGCTAATACCTTTCCTTTGCGTAACCGACTCCCGAACCCAGACATGGTTGCGATGACCTTGTCTTATACCTTTTCGTCAGGTTTTTCCGATTGTTTCCTTTCCCTTTCTGTGGGATAAATAACGAAAGCTGGCGACTCTTCTGTTTTGCTGGCACCTTATTTTCGCGGTAGCGACAATAAGTTACATCAAACCTATGAATATAATTAATGTTAAATATCTAATTCTTTGTTTTAGAAAGATTAGATTTGATTTAGAAAGATTATATTAGACATTTTTGGGCTTTTGTAATTTGGGCTTTAACTTGAGATACAAGTTAACCTAAATCTATAAATAGGGATAAACTCTTATCATTGTAATCATCAAGTTTGATAATCACAGTTTTACAGTTGCAAATTGATAATAAAATTCCACAAATGTGGGCAGAGAGTTACTCTGCAATTCATACTCGTCTTTTTTAAACATGTTCTTATTTTTGTTCATTGTCATTACATAACAATCTTGAGATCAAGATTGAGAAGAATTTAACATAGATCGTGGTTGAATTCCAACATCTAGTATCAGAGCCTGGTTGCGATATAGGGAAGAACAACTGTGATGGCGATGAATCACTCGAACGGTCACTTTTCAACAAATCTTCCAATTCTCAAGAAAGATAATTATGAGAATTGGTGCAAGCACATTAAGGTGGTTTTCTGTTACCAAGATCTTTGGGATCTTGTGAAGGAGGAATTATCACCGCTTGCAAAAACTACGACAGATCAAGAGAAAGCAGCATATAAAGAATTGAAGAAGAAAGACTATAAAGCTTTCTTTATAATCCGCCAATTTGTTGATCCAGACAATTTTAAAAAGGTTAGTGATGTAGAATCAACAAAAGAAGCCTATGAGATTCTTGAAAAATCGTTTGGAGGTGTAGAGAAGGTGAAAGAGGTGAGGTTACAAACTCACAAAAGGACTTATGAATTGCTTCAGATGGAAGACAATGAAAGTATAACTGATTTCTTCACCAGAGTTACAAAGCTAGTGAATCAAATTAAGGTATATGGAGAAGTGTTAACATCATGATCATTTGTGTCAAAGATCTTGAGGTCATTGGCTCCAAAATTCGCACACGTGGTAGTAGTCATAGAAGAGTCGAAAGACATGTCAGTATTGGCGAAGGAAGAGCTTCAAGGGACGTTTGAGTCTCATGAACAAAGGATGACTGAAAGAGTTGCGGAAAAGTCGAAGAGTGATATGGCTTTGCAGGCGCAGTCAAGAAAATAAAGAAAAGGCAAAGGAAGCTGGAATAGAAACAAAGGTAGAGGAGGCTACACCAATTTGACTGGTCGAAATTAGCATGAAGAAAATTGGTTGAATCAGAGAAAACTTTGGAACCAAGGCAACCAAAGAGGTGGTGTTGCAGATAGAGGAAGAAGTGGTGGTTGAAAGCCTGACAAGAGTCACATTCAGTGTTTCTATTGTCATGAAGTATGGTCATTATTTTCGTGATTTTCTAGAAAATAAGAAGAATCAAGAAACTGATGCAAAACTGGACAAACATGAAGAAGAAAAGATGTTGCTGATGGTCACAACAAGAGACGAAGAGAGATTCTAGGACCAATGGTACTTGAACTCAGGATGTTCATCACGCATGATTGGAATGAAAGATTGGTTTGTCAACATGAAGCCCTCGTCGAAGAACACAATGAAGTTTGTAAATGACAACACTTTAGCTACTGAAGGTGTTGGTGGTGTTCAAATCGTGAGGAAGGATGACAAGAAATCAATATCTTCCAATGTGCTATATATACCAGGCATGAAAAGTAACCTGCTCAATATAGGATAGCTTGTCGAAAATAACTACAAGGTAGTTGTCAAAGACAAGATGATAAGAGTTCTCAACGCAGGTGGTAGGTTGATCTTGAAGGCTCCAATGTCTCAGAATAGGACCTTAAAGATTGAACTCAATGTGATGGAGCGTAAGTGCCTAGCAACTGCAGCCAGCAGAGGTGAATGGTTACGACATTTTCGACTAGGCCATCTCAACTTCAATGACATCAAAGATATAAAGAGAAGAAATATGGCTTCAGGATGACCTGAAATCGACATTCCAAGTGAAGTCAATGAAGAGTGTGTTCAGTCGAAACAACACAAGAAAAACTTCAGCAAGGATGCAGGAAGGAAGTCGAAGGCAATTTTGGAAGTCATATACTCTGATGTATATGGTCCAATCCAGGTAGATTCTATTGCAGGCAACAGATAGTTTGTCATGTTCATAGATGATTACAGTCGAAAGTTATGGACTTGCCTCATCAAGAAGAAAAGTGATGTGATCGAGGTATTTTCCAGATTCAAATCTATGGTCGAAAGACAGAGTGCTCGAAAGCTGAAAATTCTGAGGACTGATGGTGGTGGAGAGTATGTGTTGAAAGAGTTCGACGCATTATTTTAAAAGAAGGGATTGTGCATGAGGTGGTGTCACCCTACACTCCACAGCAAAATGGAATTCCACAAAGAAATAAGAGAACCATCATGAACTTGGTGAGAAGTATGTTGAATGGAAAGCATCTACTCAAAGAGTTATGGGGAGAAGCGGTTTCGACAACAACGTACATATTAAACAGATGTCCGACGAAAAAGCTTGAAGGAATCACACCAGAGAAATGTTGGCCTGGTGTTAAACCTAGTCTTAGTCACTTGAAGGTGTTTGGATCTATAACACATACACATGTGCCAGATCATTTGAAAAGGAAGCTTGATGACAAGTCGAATCAGATGATCTTGATAGGATATCATTTGAATGGAGGTTACAAGTTGTTCGACTCAGTGAATAAGCAGGTAGTGATAAGTAGGGACGTGATCATAGATGAGCTTAAAGAATGAGATTGGATTGAGAATGTCAAGAAGGATTCAATGAGAATCTCTTGTGAAGAACCATCCACTGAAGTCGAAAGAGAAGTTCAACAAGAACAAGTCAGAGATGAAGCAGACCCAAGCAAACCTCGACGAATAAGACACATTTCTGCAAGGTTGCAAGAATGTGTGATTACATTAAATGATGTGGTCGATGAAAAGGATGAGCCGATACATTATTCTTTCTATGCAGATGTTGAACCAGTCAATGCAGCTGAGGCATTGAAAGATTCGAAGTGGGTGAAAGCAATGAATGAGGAGTTAGACTCCTTCGAAGTCAAAAACACCTGGTCACTTGTCGAATTGCCTCAAGGCAAGAAGGCAATTGATGTGAAATGAGTTTACAAGGTGAAAGTAAATCCTAAAGGAGAGGTAACTCGACACAAGGTGATACTTGTGGCAAAACGATTTCTTCAGAAGGAAGGAATCGACTTCGACGAAGTGTTTGCACCTGTTGCTAGGACCGAAACAAACAGGTTGGTTGTTGGTCTAGCAAACACGAACAATTGACACACATGTCAGATGGATGTGAAATGTGCATTTTTGAATGGCTCCTTGGACCAAGAAGTTTGTGTTGCACAACCAGCTGGATTTGTGAAACAAGACGAAGAAAGAAAGGTGTACATGCTGCATAAAGCCCTGTATGGACTTAAGCAAGCTCTAAGAGCTTGGAATAAGAAAATCGACCGCTTCTTAAGGGAGAAGGAATTTGTGAAGTGTACAACTGAGCATGGAGTATATGTAAGGAGAAGAAATAATGAATTGTAAAATGATAACAAAATTCCACAGTTGTGGGCAGAGAATTACTCTTTAGTTCATACTCATCTTTAAATGTGTTTTTATTTTTGCTCATTATCATTACATAACAATCTTGAGATCAAAATTAAAAAGAATTCACCATAAATCATGGTTGAATTCCAACTAATAATTATTGTTTAACTCATAACCATATTTTTAGAATATTAAGTAAATATCGTTTATAGAATTACACATGTCAAACTGGGTTTTATTACACTCCCATAGTTAAAATAAAAGCAAAGTTACATCAAACTTGTGAAAATCAAAATAGAAAAATTGGCTAAAACAATATAAAAATTATTTTGTTAACAATTATTCGAGTAGCTAGTAGAAACTGATCCCAGAATTGCACAGACACCACCAAATGCTCTACTAGTTCCTTAAATTTTTCTTACTTTTGCTAATCTTTATTAGCAGAGGATCAAGTATTGAGGTAATGCAAATTCCACAGGACATGTTAACTTCTTGTGATTTAGAGGCATCAATAGAACAAGTTTTTTTCTCTTTTTCTTCGAATCTTAGTTGGTTTGTGAAGTATAAGCGTTTTCTTTCACCTGGTCTGATTCCAATTAGATGCCCGAGGGATACACTGCTGTCTTTAAAGAATGATGCTGTTGACTGATTGTTCCAGCGAAAAATGGAGTTAGAAATTTAAGAGCAATTTATTAACATGTCCTCTCATAGTGTATATGAGACAATGCATTACTTTGTGAAATTCAAAATTTTACTTTTTGATGTTTGCATTAACTCAATGCTAAAAAAAATCAAACCACTATTGTGGCAAAGTTTGGTAAAATGGAAAAGAAAGTTCAGTTGTATGTGATTTATGGTCAATGTTTTAAATCTAGATCTACATGGCAACACCTCTAAATCAGTCTAAATCATGATTTACGTGGTTCAATATTGTACTACGAGATAGAAAAAATAAAATATAAATAAAAATAATATTCAACCCAATTCAACTCGATTCAATTTTTTTGCAATATAATTGATTATATCTTATAGCATCGACATCTTGAACAAAAACGTGTGTCGTATTTAACATGCATCAATGTCTGACACTCATACGATATTGATACATGTGATCATATGTAAAAAAAACCAAAATATTCAAGTACTAGTAGTTAAAAAAGAAGAAATTTTGTAACATTGGGGAATTAAATTTACCTCAGTATCAAGGTTGGAGGAAGAAACTGAAGAAAAACTCGTGGAAGGAATATGCAATGACAATAAGTAAGGCTCAGCTGAAACATTGTTTGCCGGAAGTGATTCCACAACTCTCAATCTCATATTCAGAACACCAAGACCAAATGGCCACCCAATAGGAATCTCATCATTCTGAGAACAACACATAGCATTAAAAAACATGTCATGATTCATTGCTTTATTTAAACACTTGTATATGTCTAGCACATTTCTCTAGATACTACCATTCCCAGATCCAATTTCACATTCAATCGTACATGCTAAACTTATTTCTTTGTTTAATGTTATGTTCCTTATCTATTATGAATTTGGCCCACATCATGTGGCTATGCTAGATTTCCACCAATTATTAATAAATATATCTTTACATCAAACTTTATAAAGTCAAAAAAATATACTAGATTCATTGCTCCAGTGAGATCACACGCATTTGAGTGATACTATAAGTTACTAAAATTATCAAATAATAATATTTTTGTGATAGGCCAGGGACCATGAAGATACCACCACATAGTACATGACATGTTGATGTTATTATTAGAACTGTTGTTTCACTTCAATCCACATTCTTACAACAAACTTTGATGGTTTTTAATGAAATGTTAATTTATACACCCACCTATATTTCATCGCATCTATTTACAATCAGGGCCCTATAAACAAAAGGATCTTTTTAAGAAGTAAAGTCCATTTGAAAAGTACAACTTATTCTGTCTATACAGATTGATAGATATGGTTTTTTATTCTTCATGCCAGTTCATTTGGAAATTATTAACGATTTCAATGAATAACAAAAATCTCAGCAGAAAATCATATTAATCATCACTGACAAGATTCAAACACAGAAAGCATAACTATAGAGGCAACACTTCTTCACAGTGCAAAGTGAAAACATGACATATTTATTCATCAAAACAACAATACATGTCATAAATTGGCTGAATCAATGAAAGATGAAAATGGAGAAGAACAATCAAATATATTTTGAATGTGTTAAGTTGGTATTTGAGGAGAATAATTATAAGAATTACCTGTGAAACCACCATGGTGTCTGTCTGTGTGTGGACAGTAGCTAGAAAGAAGTTGATGGGAAAATGATATGATCACGGAGAAGAAAAATTAGATGTAATTGTTCGAGAGAGAGTGTGAAACTAATTGAGAATTTACGTGTCTCCTAACTTGTATATAGTAATATTATTTCTTATTAAAAAGTTCGACATTTAAGACTCAATGGTCCCACTTTCAGAATTAATTTAGAATTTTTTTTTAAAAAAATAACCTATTTATTCAATTTAAATACCAAAATAGCATGTTTTTCAAATTAGTTACTAAAGTGACAATGCAATTGCCATTTTATTTGAAGCATATGCATTAATCGAAAGTTCATGCGCCATTTGATTTGGAGTATACATATAGGTGTAGCCATATCAAATGGCGCCTACACCTCAAAAACCTCTTCTTGCCCTTATTTGGAGTGCATGCGCCATATGAGATGGCGCGTCCTCCTTTACATTATTTTTATTTTTTATTTTTATTTATTAGAAAAATGAGACGAAAATAGGTAACTAATTGAGAAAAATAAAAAACAAATAAGAAATAATTAAAAATATTATTAAAATACATTAAAGTTTACAAGAAATGAAAAAAAATTAATGACCGGTTCGATCTAAACGTCACCCGGTTTCACATTCCAGTGCATTAGCATGCCTCCGAAGTCTACCACGGTTTTGTTGAGGTGTTTGTAGTCTTTGTGTATTGGCCTGCGGAAAAGGTATTTGTTGTGAGGCTCCCGACGTATTTGACAATCATTTGTCCTCAATAGTCGGGGGGTTGCTGCCAACGACGCTTCCGTAATTCAGTTTCATACCCATGTTTTCGAAGTTGGGACGTAGTGGTAATTAGAGACAAGATCCCTTAATGTGTAGATCCAATAATTTACCTTGACACTGTCAATCAATATAATTAGTGTAATTACTGTCAGCATTATTTGTTGCCTTATTTGCTTGTAGCATCTTAATTCTAGCCTTAATCATAAGATCATGTAGCTGCTAGTGTTTTCTATATATACGTACACTATAATCACCAGAATATACAATAATATTATCATTTACCTATCATTACTTTTCCAACTTGGCATCAGAGCACTTAAGCCCTGAAGGCTCTTGATCCAATGCAAATTATGGCATCCGCTGCAAATTCAAAGTCCAGAAATGATCTCCCATTCATTGTGTCTGTCAAGTTGGACAGAGACAACTATCCATTATGGAAATCTTTGGTGATCTCTATAGTCAAAGGCTGCAGGCTCGATGGGTACATGTTAGGGACAAAGGAGTGTCCCAAAATATTCATAGCTTCTACAAATTCAACTAAGAAGCCAAATCCTGCTTTTGAAGATTGGCAGGCTCATGATTCACAACTCCTTGGATGGTTGATGAATTCAATGACTACTGAAATGGCAACACAGTTACTGCACTGCGAAACCTCAAAACAACTTTGGGATGAAGCCCAAAGCCTAGCAGGTGCACACACAAGTTCTTGAGTCACTTACCTCAAATATGAGTTTCACAACATTAGAAAAGGAGAGATGAAGATGGAGGAGTATCTGGTCAAAATGAAGAATCTCGCTGACAAGCTGAAACTTGTAGGCAGCCCCATTTCCAACTCAAATCTAATCATTCAAACTCTGAATGGTTTAGATTTTGAATACAATCTTATGGTGGTCAAGCTATCTGATCAAACTAGTCTCACTTGGGTTGATCTTCAGGCTCAATTGCTGACCTTTGAGAGTAGACTTGATCAACTGAATAGCCTCACCAACCTAACCCTTAATGCTTCAGCAAATGTTGCCAACAAAACAAATTATAGAGGCAATAAATTCAACACAAACAACAACTGGAGAGGTTCCAACAGCAACTAGAAAGACCCTAACTTCAGAGGTTGGAGAGGAGGCAAAGGAAGAGGAAGAATTTCTAAGCCAACATGTCAAGTTTGCCACAAGGCTGTGCGCACAGCAGTAAATTGCTATTACAGATTTGATAAGTCTTATTCAAACTCAAATGATTCAGCAGGCAGTGACAGACAAGGGGCACACAATGCCTTCCTAGCCTCACAAAGCTCTCTTCAAGATTATGATTGGTACTTTGACAGTGGTGCAAGCAATCATGTGACACACCAAACTGACAAATTCGAGGATCTGACAGAACATCATGGTAAGAACTTATTAATTGTTGGAAGTGGTGAAAAACTAAAGATTGTTGCCATATGTTCCTCAAAACTAAACTCACTTAACTTACATAATGTCTTATATGTGCCCAATATTACCAAAAACCTATTAAGTGTGTCAAAATTAACTGCTGACAATAACATTCTGGTTGAGTTTGATGCAAATTGTTGCTTTGTGAAGGACAAGTTGACAGGGAAGGCAATCCTAAGAGGGACATTTAAAGATGGCTTGTATCAGCTTTCAAGGACTGAAAGGGACCCGTGTGCTTATGTATCTGTCAAGGAAAGCTGGCATAGAAGGCTTGGTCATCCAAATAATAAAGTCCTAGATAGAGTCTTGAAAAATTGTAATGTCAAACTATCACCTAGTGATCATTTTAATTTTTGTAAGGCCTGTCAATATGGCAAAATGCATTTTTTACCCTTTAAAACCTCTTTCTCTCATGCTAAAGAAATCCTTGAATTAGTTCACACTGATGTTTGGGGACCTGCACCAGTAACATCTTCTTCGGGTTTCAAATATTACGTTCACTTCCTTGATGACTTTAGTAGATTTACCTGGATCTATCCTCTGAAACAGAAATCAGACACTGCACAAGCTTTTACCCAGTTTAAAAACATGGCAGAAAATTTGTTTAACAAAAGAATTAAAACAATCCAATGTGATGGTGGTGGTGAATATAAGGTTGTGCAAAACCATGCAATAGAAGCAGGGATACAATTCATAATGTCATGCCCCTATACATCACAACAAAATGGTAGGGCTGAGAGAAAACACAAACATATTGCTGAATTTGGCCTGACATTGCTAGCACAAGCCAAAATGCCCTTAGACTATTGGTGGGAAGCTTTCTCCATGGCAGTTTATCTCATAAACAGACTGCCCTCTCTAGTCACTCAAACTGAAAGTCCTTACTCACTACTCTTTAGAAAGGAACCTGACTACAACTCTCTAAAATCCTTTGGGTGTGCTTGCTATCCCTGTCTCAAGCTCTATAATCAACACAAACTGCAGTTCCACACAACCAGATGTGTGTTCTTGGGCTATAGTAACTTCCAAAAAGGATACAAATGCATAAACTCTCATGGAAGAATCTTCACCTCAAGACATGTTGTCTTCAATGAAGAACATTTTCCATTCCATGATGGGTTTCTCAATACAAGAAGTCCCTTAAAAACACTAACTGAATGTCCATCTGCCTCTTTTTTTGCCTACTGTAGGTAGCTCACATATTGGAGAAGCAACACCTTCATATGACAATAATCCTGATGTCGAACAAGAACAAGTTAGTCCAACTGGTAGTGATGCACCATCCAGTCCAACTACAAATGATTCAACAAGAAATAGTCCAATTTCACATGGCATTGATCCCATAGAAATAGTTGTTGAAGCTCCCCAAGACCTTGCTGAACCAAGCACAACCATCAACACTCATTGGACCAGAAGCAAGGCTGGAATTCACAAGCCAAAGCAGCCATATGTTAGGTTAGCCGAAACCTACACAGATGAGAAGGAACCAGAAAATTTCACAGAAGCACTTACAAGACCACAGTGGAAAGAAGTTATGGATAATGAGTATTAGGCACTCATGTCAAATCAAACCTGGGTTTTGGTACCATATCAAAGCCAAGAAAACATCATTGATTCTAAATGGATCTTCAAGACCAAGTACAAAGCAGATGGGACAATTGAAAGGAGAAAGGCAAGATTAGTTGCAAAAGGATTTCAACAAACAGCTGGTCTAGATTATGAAGAGACCTTCAGCCCAGTTTTCAAGGCCAGTACAGTTTGAATCATACTCTCAATTGCAGTGCATCTCAATTGGGAAGTCAAATAGTTGGACATAAACAATGCATTCCTTAATGGGTACCTCAAAGAGATTGTGTTTATGCATCAACCAGAGGGTTTTGTTGACTCAACTAAACCTGAACATGTCTGCAAGTTATCTAAGGCAATCTATGGATTAAAATAGGCCCCAAGAGCCTGGTTTGATAGCCTCAAAAATGCCTTACTCAGTTGGGGTTTCAAGAACACAAAAAGTGACTCCTCACTCTTCACTCTAAGAGGTACATATCACATCACCTTTCTACTTATATATGTGGATGATATAATTGTCACAGGGAACAACACCAAATTTTTAGAATCCTTCATCAAACAACTCAATGTTGTATTTTCCCTTAAGGACCTTGTTCCTCTGCACTACTTCTTAGGCATAGAAACTCAAAGAAATGCATCTGGTATGTACTTAATGCAATCGAAATACATAGACGTCCTGAAAAAATTCAAAATGGAAAATGCTTCATCCTGTCCAACACCTATGGTAACTGGTAAGCAATTTACAGCTGAAGGGGAGAGGTTAAAATACCCAACCATGTTCAGACAAGCTACAGAAGCATTGCAATACTTAACAAACACAAGGCCTGACATAACATTCTCAGTTAACAAGCTCAGCTAATTCATGAGCTCTCCCATTATAGATCACTAGCAAGGCATCAAAAGAATATTGAGATATCTTCAAGGTACCATCCAACATTGTCTACACATTAAACCATCCACTGACATGGACTTAACAGGCTTCTTAGATGCAGATTGGGCCACAAGCGTGGACAATCGAAAATCCATGGTAGGTTAATGTGTCTTCCTTGGTGAAACACTTGTCTCTTGGTCCTCAAGGAAGCAAAAGGTAGTCTCAAGATCTAGTACAGAGTCAGAATATAGAGCACTGGTTGACCTAGCTGCTGAAATAGAACGGACTCGTTCACTCCTCGATGAGCTAAAACTCCCTCTGCTAAGAAAACCAACACTGTAGTGTGATAACTTGAG